ACAAAGATGTTAAGTGTTAAGTTGTAAAAAGATTGTTTTCAGTCTGAATTGTAAGATTTTGGCAGCTGGTTGCAGGTGATTGAGTCTTCGGTTGCATTAATCTTGAGGGTATAGTTTCGGTGTTCTCTGATAATGGAATACTTAAATATTGTAAACTATCCCAGTGTAATCTTCTCTCTGACGCTTTTTCATCAGTGTGTGTTTTATCTTTTAGTTTACTAAATATTGAGTTTTCAGTATCACTACTGCTGGAAGTGCTTGAGTTGAAGCAATTGCACTGTAATAGTACTTCCAAGTTCTCTAAAAATGGAGTGTAAATATATTCATCTTGCTTATTTTTATAGTTTTGGTTGAATACTATCACGTTACTTTTCTGTCAGATTGGGTATCCTGAGGTTGCCCAATATCTGAGTTATCTATCATGTTGAAGTGATTTCTGGATATGACAAGCTGTATATCCAGTATATCCATGGTTGATATTGAATTAATCAGTGTTCATTTCATAGACAAAGTGAGCTAATTTCTGAGACAGATTTGTGGTGCTCTTGAGAAATTTGTCTGGATCATCTATTTTTAGCCCCTGTAGCATAGTTAGTACTTGAGTGGCTTTGGTTTTGTGACTGCAAACACTTTCTCCTTCCCTCACCAATTGTGTAGTCTCTGCATTGGTATGAAACTGCTGTTGCAGCAGAATCTACTTTCTTGTTCATAAGCTTATAACATGCAGTGATAGCAGCATTCTTGGACCTCTTACAGAGGAAAACAGAAAGGGAATTAGAAGTTTCTCAGCTATCTGTAGCCCCACACCAAATGAAAATTTGTACAATCTTTATATCTCAACTACTCTTACAGATCTTTTGAAAATAAGAGTGTGTCATTTTATTTTCATCTTGTCTCTACTGGTCATTGTGATGGTGTGGTAGGTTTTTAAAAAATAAAATTGATACAATCTTTTCAGATAAAGAGATAGATCTCTTTAGCATATTCTGATTCATGCTGTGCAAGAAAATTGAAGAATTAGGCAGTTTACTTTAGGAAGCTTTTCATATATGTGAGAAGTTTCTTTACTCATCTAATCTTGCAGAGGCAATCTTGTTTTCAAAAAGACCTTTTCTGACTTAAGTTCTCTGTATGTTAATGAGTAGTCCATCGAGTTTAATGGTAATCTTCTTTAAAGCCAGAATATTATATCAAGAACTAACATACCTATAATAGCATAGGCTTTGAACATAATTCCTTTTGGTAGTGATGGTAAATGTTTCAGAGCTCATGGCTAAATAAACAGTAGCAAAGTGGCATCTTCATCCTGTTTCAGCCTGGAGTCTGAGGAATACACCACAAATACAAAAGTACTGTAGAACTTTCTGGATTTAATAATTCTTCATGGCTTTGATTGAAAGATTCATTGCAATTTTTGACAAATGTCCCTTTTCCTTTATTGATACAACATCCATCCATTTTTAAAAAATAGATATTACACTGGTAACTATTTGAGAGATTAGCAGGAATTAGAGGGATTTGACTGATCAGAAAGTACTTTAGTAAAGGTATTATCCTCTTTGACCATTTACTAAATTGTTTTTGATCTAGCAACCTGTGTTCATTTTGTTGTGCTGCTAGAATGGAAGTGCATCAGAGTTATCATGCCACTTAAAAATCCAAAACAAAACACTAAAAAAACTTCAACTCAAATCTTGGACTAATCTGCTATAGTGTGGTGGTACCAAATGCAATGTCACTGATTCTTTCTTACTCTTTGTAAGTGATATCCTTTGAAAGAGCTTTGGCAAATGAGTTTTATTGTGCATCCTTTTACACTGTTTTTCTTGAGAAGACTGTTTGAAATTTAGTGGTATGGTCACCAGAAGTGGCTTTATACTTTTTAATGACGCAAAATTATTTTACTTAAATTTTGTGAACAGGATTTTATGACTCAGATATTGGCTCTGTTCAAGAGTTATTAAAGTCAGTATATTAATATGTAGAGAATTAATGTCAGTTGGGGAAAGACATTTTTCTTCAATTTATATTTCGATAAGTTATTTTTTGTTTTGGTTTATATTTATAGAACACAAGCTTTATTTTCTTCATCTGTCAGCTGATTAATACCTAATAATTCATTTTTACCTTTTCCTTCTCTAATTGTCCCCACACATTACGAAAAACCCCACAGAAGTAAAGCCTAAAATGAAAAAAAGGCAGTTTCAATTCCCTGAGTCTACTTCACTGTTGCATGAATAGCATTTTCCCTGTAGAGGCTTTGTGAACAAAATATGCTCTTTTAGGGAGTTCTTAATGGACTGTGATAGAAGGAAGTGGTCAGAGGAAGAGTTGAGAGCATAATATATACGTGCATTTGCATTTCCAGTTAATGATTTTCTTTGGTGACAGAATTCCTCATGGGTGCAACCTCTTGAATGTTTTATAGAAAAACAATAATGAACATAAAATTATGAGTAGACTTTGACTTCTTGCATTCCTGTTTTTGCAATATTCTGTAGGAGTGTTTGTTGCTTTGTTTATGCTTAAAACATGGTTGATAGTGACATGGCTTCTTACTATATGAATAAATTAGATGTATTTTTAATGGTCAAAATTGGGAAACTTCTGTTAGCACTTCCAGCTACTTAAAGATGATTGTCATGCTTTTTACCTCAATGATATATTTTGTTTTCAAAGGCTGTGGACCTTTCTATTGATGAATCTAGTCTCACAGGTGAGACAGCTCCTTGCTCTAAATCTACAGCTCCTCAGCCAGCAGCAACCAATGGAGACCTTACTTCTAGGAGCAATATCGCTTTCATGGGGACATTGGTTAGGTGTGGAAAGGCAAAGGTAAAATTGTTATTAATGGAGAAGAATATTTTCCATGTTTCAACTATTTGGAGGCAGTTCTTATTTTTACAGTTCACCTATCAGTTGAGAAATGTTCTTTAATGACTACATATATTTTGAGTTTTCTGAAACAATGGAAATGGACTAGAAATAGAAATTTTTACTGGAAATACGGAAGACTTTATTGATATGCTGGAGAGCTTTTCTCATTAGTGCTTTTTCAGACACTGATTTAAAAATAAAACTGATCTGGGGCCAGGAGAGCTCAAATTTATAGGGTGCAGATGATGTGAAACTCTTCTGTCTAGTATTTGGTGTTTTGCTTCTGGAACTACATTCACGTGTTTCAAAATCTGTAACTGAAAATATGGTTTTGGCTGGTGTTAGGTGTTACCCTAATTGTGAGTTGTGTTACTGGTAGTTACTAAATACTTAGCAGTGCACAGAACAGCAGTTTGTTTCACAGATGCAAAATATTTTTTAACAAAAATATTTCCTACTTGTACCAAGAATTAATTTTATAAATACAGCTAACAAAATCATGGCAGGCTAAATGCCATTTTCCCACTATTTGAGTCAAAGCTGTCAAGAGCAATCACTAACATTAAAATTTAACTTCAGATTTGAATTGGCTTTATTTTTGTTTATTTTGGGGGTTTTTTTTTGTGTTTTTTAGGGAATAGTTATTGGAACAGGAGAAAATTCTGAATTTGGGGAGGTTTTCAAAATGATGCAAGCAGAAGAGGTAAGAGTGAATATTTAGAAGCAAAGACATATTTTGTAAGTGTATATTTCATTCATTAAAACTTTTAATTTATTCTATAGGAACGTAGTTCAACTTAATTGCATGGCTTTTAATATTTTTCTTTCCTCTAGTGGAACAAATCTTAGCTCTTGAACATGAAAGTAGTAATTGAAACCAGTGCAACAAAATATCCATAGCTGACCTAAAAATACTGACTGTGAAAATAGTATTCTAAACCTGTTCAGTGGAACAAATCTCATTGCAATTTGTGGAAGTGTATCAAGTGGAACTACATTTGTGCAAAAGGGATTTGCATGAGAGATTTGTGCTGTACGCACAGGACTGTTTTCCCTTGATTAGCAGTGTACTTTGGGGTTATGCATGTGTCTCCTGCTGCTTTGTGATCTCTATCTTAACCTTTTATAAGCTCCCTTTGACTCTCAGATACCAAACTCCCACAGTGATTTTTCTTTACTACAGTACACTGATTCACATGGGAATTCAGACTTTTGAGTGCTTTTGAGTATCTAGGGCCTTCTAGCTTCTTCTCTGCGTGCCTGACCTATGTAGGATGGTAAGGACACAGTCTTATCTCCAGCTGTCAGGACGTGATCAGGCATAGTATAGGCAGCACTTTTTTCCCAGATGTATACCTTTCTGAAATCTGCCAAAACAGAGCAACTAAGGGCATTAAATGCAACAGCCAGGAATGTATTGCCAACCTCATTTTGTTAGCTGCAGTGCCTTACTAAACCTTTCAAGGCATTACAGCTGTCCAGTCACCAAAGTGGAATCCACTTTCATACATGTGAGGAAAATATGATCGTCCATTCAGTAGTATTTAGTTTGTATTGTAACAAGTGTAAGTATTAATGGGGAAAAAACAAACAAAAAAACCCCCAAAACAAGGAAGAAAACTATGTGTACATTCTACACCAACAACATTATGAAATATCAGAGTAATATAAGGTTATTTTTGACGTTTATGTTACAGTAATCTCACTTTAAAAATAAATTTTGAAGGTAACAGTGAATCAAATTTGATACCAGCTTTCTCATATAAACTGTACACACTTTTTTCATAACTTGTTGAACAAAGATTATTTTTACAATGACCCCGTCTTGCTTTTTTTGCTACACTTTCTATACTGTAGTCTACCATATATTACTGTTTAAAAAAACCAAACTTAATGGTATCCAATCTAAAAATCTACTTTTCTGTTGTTTTTTTTTCTTTTGGATTTTTTTAAATGAAAATTTTTCCTTCATATCCCCTTCTTTCTATACTTTTTTTTAATCCTAGATCGTCTAAATATTTCCATAGTTTTCTATTTGACTAAAACAAATTTTCTACAGATGCTTAACAAATTCCTTTTGAGATATAATTTGCCTTCCAAGGCTCTAATTCCTCAATCTGGAAAAGTCAGTTTTATTCTTGTTATCAAGAACTTTCTTGGAGAAGTGCAGTGACTTTTGGTCACCGTGATTTTTTTATTTTAATAAAATCTTTGATATGCCCTTTTGTATTAGATTTGCTGTAGCCATCACAAAGCTCCCAAAGAATATTTCTAATATTTTTTTTTTTTTATTTTGGTGAAGTGTTCTTGAATCTTCTTGAATTTGACACAAGAATAGAACAAAGTCATTTGTTTTCACAAAGCAAACCTATGGAAATGTGGAATATAACTGCACCTTACTCACTGGCAGTGTCTTGAAATTTGCACATCTGAAGTAATAATGTGATACAGTTAATGCTTTTTAACCTGCACTTGTTAACTGCTGCATTGTTTATTGTTCATCGAGGCTCCAAAGACACCTCTGCAGAAGAGCATGGATCTCTTGGGAAAACAGCTTTCCTTGTATTCTTTTGGTATAATAGGTAAGAGAATTAATGTAAAATAATTACAAATTATTATGTAGCTGAAACTAGCATGTAGACTTGGGAAAACAGAAGGGCTTGGTATCTCTTGTTAAATATTTTGACTCCTCACTTTATTGGCCATGTTGAGTTCATGCCACTAATCATCTGAAGATTACTAATGCATCACAACTTTTGTCATAAGGGTGTTTACTTGCTTCTTCCTGCAAACATACTTTTCTGACTTGTCCTCTAAATGCTTCCTTTTAAGTTGCAATGTGTCATGTATTCTGATTCAAGGTGTGAGTGAGTACCTAACTGCTGGTGTGATTGGGCAACTTGACTGGCAGAAACTTTCTTCACCTTTGCTGTATTGGAATCATTGGCAGTGAGAGAAATAGATTTTTATAGGTAGCACAATGATAAGCTTTGTTTTGGCTGTTTAAGTTCTTTTTCTTTTTCCTATGAAAAGTACAGTACATTTGTTTTATATTTATCCTGATGACTACTTTCTTTACAGGAGTTATTATGCTGGTAGGCTGGTTGCAAGGAAAGCATATACTTGATATGTTCACAATTGGTGTGAGGTAAGATTTTTTTGTTTTGTTTTTAAATAGTGTGGATTATGCATTAGAGCAAGTGTCTGAAAGCTAGTGATGTATCTTATGCTTGCACATAGACACTGCCTTTAAGTTCACATAAAAATGAAAATAGACTTTGTGCTGTAAAAAGGCAAATTCATACTAACTTTTAATGATAAGGTCTGTTGTCAGTCTCTTAAACTGTGCATATGTATGGTGATTTCTGAGTGTCTTGTGGAACATCTGCAAACATGCTAGAATTGTACAGTTTGAATTTCTGTGTCTGAGTAAATAAAATGTAATTTTGTAAGTGGCATCAGGCAAAACTAAGTTATTACAAGCTTTGTGTCACAGGCTTTAATGAATGACAATTTATTAGCTTGTTTTCTAACATATTATGGAAACTTAATCCCAGGGTGTTGTCTGCTGAGAATAACACTGAATTTAGGTGATCTAACTTTGTACTCTTAGAAAAGTTGCTGAGTTGCTAATTATGTGGATAGTGCATAAGGCAGAAATGTTTCTTTAAATGACAGGATCACACTCTGGAGATTTACCCTTTTGGGGAGGGGGGTGCAGAAACTGGACCAGGACCTGCATCTTTGAGCATTGTGTAATGAGTTATTATGATCTTGTTTATACTGTTATCGGGTTTTTTTGGAGGGGTTTGGTTCTGTTTTATTTTAAATGACCTTCTGTGCCATTTCAGCACATAGTTTGCTACCACATCGTGATCTGGAAGTAGTAGCTGTGGATCAGTGGTCACTTGAAGTAGTGTCATTTCCCTGTTCTGTTTAGTGATGACTACACTTACTCTTCGCAATCTGGGCTGCTTTGCACAATCCTGATTAGTATATTGTAGGCAAAATGGATATATAATTGATTTCTCCCTCCCCCAACTTTTCTTCATGCTTTTGTGTAAGTAATGATTAGAAATGTCCAAGTTACTGCATTTTGTTACTGTCTTCAGTGTGTATCTTATAATGAATGGTATACAACTAGAATCATGTGGCAGCTGCTTCCTTTCACTTTTAGCCTTGGTGAACAGGCAGCTACAGGAATAATTTTCTGAAGTTTAAATGCATCATTACTATGTATTCATGTATGACATTCTAAGATTTGTATATTTACTTTCATTACAGTTTGGCTGTGGCTGCAATTCCTGAAGGACTCCCAATTGTGGTAACAGTGACACTGGCCCTTGGTGTGATGCGAATGGTGAAGAAACGGGCTATTGTAAAAAAACTGCCTATTGTTGAAACTTTAGGTATGACTAGACTTACTTCGAGGTAGTATTTTGATAGAAATGTTAGGAAATCAACACAAATATTGATGATGACTGTTTAGAATAAAACAGGTATTCTTATTTTAATAGCAATGTGATGGTGTCTTGAAAACATTTCTAAAGTGAATGCATTTTACACAGTTAAAAATCAGGTATATCTTTTTGTGGGCTCTCTACTTTTTTTATTTAACTGAAATAAACAGTCTGACCATAAATAGCATGTCACATTAGCAGTGCTCTAAACTGCGTGAGTGATTTGGCGTGTGGAGTACTCGTTTGCTGTAAGTTGTTCTTGTTAAATAAGACTTGTATAATGATTTTTAAACTAAATTTTTGGTGTAAATTTAGGAATGATACTGACAATTGGAAACAAATCCAAATATGAATATTAGAAAAAGCTTTTTAATCATAATGCACCTTCAGGATGTTGTGCTGCTCATATTAAAACTTAAAATTTTCAAATATTAAAGCTTAAAAATATACTGTACACAGTTTCAGCCCTGAAACATGTAAACATGCACCAATAGAAACAGAAATACTAAGTTAAATAATTCTGCTGCCTTTGAATTTCTTTTTGCATTTGAAGATTGGAAATATTTTTCCAGTGCCTTTAGCAGAGTTTCATTAGTGTTGCAAGGCTTCTTGTTGCTTTTGCAATT